ATTTCATAAAGGTTAAGTTTACATTAATCAATTACTCCTAAAGGATCAGGGCACACCCAATAAATTTCATATAAGACAATCCTATGATTTCTTAAAGGTTTAAACCCCATAAAATTCCCAACAGTATTCATATATAAAAAAAAATAAGAAGTTTAAAGCATTAATTAAATTGAAAAGGACAAGTGATTTAAATTTTAATACATTGATAGATTTTTCTAATATATACTGCACTTATTCATGAAAATCTAATATTTAATTATTCAAATAAATAAGAAATAAGAAATAAGAAAATAAGTCAATTTTATTAAATGAATAGACATATTAAGATAATTTAGAAATTAACCTAATGGGTCTTTACATTAAAAATATCTTAAGTTAAGGTCGATCTAAACTAGTTTTATTAAATCACACTATTAAAATATTAGGTACCATTACAAACATATCACTAATTAGGTTGTGCATGGGTCAGGTCGGATCGGATTTTTGACCCGACCCAGTTTAATTTGATCCAAGTCAGGTCTGAACCGATTTGAATTTTTTTTGAACTGGTTCAGAACTGGATCAAATCTGACCTGACTTGATTTCTGAAGTGGGTCTGACTTGATTTTAAAATTGGGTCAAATCCGACCTGACCCACTTTTGACTTGGTTTCAAAACTTGTTTTTTATTTGATTTAATTTTTAAACTCAAGTAATTTAATTTTTTATTTGTTTTAAAATATATAAATTACATAATAAATTTGATATTTGTTGAATAAATATCAAATCTTCAAAAAAAAGTGCTAATATTACTATTCTATGGTCCTAATCAGTGTCATGGGTAGCTCATTCTAACTCATAATTGATATTTTTAATTAGCAATTATCATGATTTTATTGGATCACCAAAAACCTCCAAATTGATAACAAATTAAAAAAAAAAAAAAAAAAAACAATCCAAACATAAAATTATCCCATAAAATATCAGCGTATGGATTCCATTTAGGGGTGTTAAACGAGTCAGGAGCCTTTGACTCGGCTCGTGAAGGCCTGAGCTTACATGTCTAAAATTGGTTAGTGACATCAGGCTTGAACTTGTATAAAAGCTCGTTTAATAAAAAGGTCTCCAGGCTCCAATTCAAAAGCTCGGCCTTAAAGCCTCTCAAGCTGGCCTATTATATTATTTTTTATACTACTTGTAATAGCCTCTCTTTCTCCTTAATCCATTTCACCCCATTTTATTGGTTAAATAGACTTTTTGAATGATTTTGTTCTATATTATGCTGTTTGGATATATATTGAATTTATGATATTTATTAAATTACTAGTGTTGTTGATTGTATATTCTGTTTAGATAAAAAAAAATTATTTTATTCTTTTTAAAAGGCTAAATCAGGCTTTTACTTTTTGTAAATAAGTCAGACCATAGGCCGATAATAATATTTATAACAGGTAACATGCTTGGTCAGGCTAACACATTTAAACGCAGGCTTAGCCTTTTAAAACCAAAGCTCGGCTCGGCTCGGCCCGTTCAACCCCCTAATTCCATTTACTCAATGTAAGAAATTAAAATTAACAGATATTTACGAATAATTTTTGTAGTATGACTAACTCTTATTTAATCAACACTAGTGTGTGCAATCTATCTCATTTCTTGACTACCCCATGGAATCTTGAAGGCTATAAAGCACATAAAATCTTCATGCAGATAGAATAACTATTATCCTGTCACATGTTGTATCAAAATCAAAGCCTATGAATTTGTAATCCCTTCTGGATTCAAAGTCACTGGATCACAGATATATTTGCACATTGATCTCCAATCACTCATATGATATGATCCAATTTCCCTCTCTACCATATATGTGATAGTACTACTAAAATTTAGAACACACAGTTACCTTGGCCGTATTCTAACATCTCAACAAGCTTGTTTTCATTTTCATCGGGAGAAGAGAGAACCTAAGCCCCAAATTGCCTTACCGAGATTTTTGGTTTTCTTATTTTTTTCACAAAATGGGGCTGGGTCAAGTTTTGGATCAATGGGTCAATTATTAAAACAAGTCAAGTCTAAAACTGACCTAAATATAAGTGGTTCAATATTTAAACCCAGTTAAAAAAAATAGGTATTTATAGGTCAGATCAAGGACAGGGCAACTGAACCAGTTTTTTTGCACACCCCTATCACTAATTTAGTAAATTTTAAAGTATCTTCAAATAAATCAAAAATTAGTCAGTTTTTCAATACTTAAAAACTACAATTAATTGTAATTCACAATAACTATTTAAAAAAAATTAACATGGTAATATCTTAATAAATTTATATTACTAACAAAACTAAGGGAGTGAAATGAGTTTTAAAAATCTTTTTGCAAATTGTCTCACTTTCTTTATAAATTCTATTTTTTTGATATATTTTATTTAAGATAAGTAAAAGATAATGGATAACAACTTAAACAAACAAATGATGGTTAATATATTAGAAGTTAAATATATTCAAGTATGCTATGGTAAAGGAAACAAGCGTTAGAGAGAATGCAAAATCAGTTTATCTTGATTTGGTCACAACTATCATGACCTACGACGAACTTGCAATCACCACGATGATTGTCCCTTACTAATCAAGCTTCAAAGGTGATAAACAAACTACTACGGCCAACAAGATTATAGTTCTTTGATACCTTAAAATCCCGTCCAAATTTCAAAGGTAATAATTTTATCTTCCCAACACTAAAGTCTCACTACCCTCAACCAACAATCACAGAAGAAAGAATTGTGTTTGGACAAACTAAGCACTCTCAAAGTGCATATAATATAAATAGAAAACTAGTAGGTGTATAGCCAAAATATAAGAATGAGCTCAAGTATGTAGCAAAGTTGTAATTAATGAGTAAGAATGTGTTTAGAGTAGTAATAATGACTCAATAAATGTTATAATTAAGTTTCAGACCTAATAGAGTCATTACAAATTAGTATTTATAGATTGCATATAAAATATAGTGGAAAGCATTTACTCAATTAAATGTTGAAGCTCATCAGAGAAAATGTTCATCAGCATTAACTCGAGTGAATGTGATTCACTTGAGTAAATCAAAACAAATGACATTTCAAAACGCAAAATTCAATCCCTTTCGATTCCAAATCATTTTTAACATTATGGACTTATGAAAGGTGTTTGAGGGTTCAAAACATTTGAAAACGGTCCCATCCAATTTTGAGGGATCAAACAATGAAAACATGTTCTTTTTCTCTATGCAATGTCGAAAATGCATTTCTTTTAGTCCAAGAGAATTCTAACATGTATGTATAATTGGACTACTTAAATATGTTTGTGTGCTCATATCATATTAAAAACTTTCCAATGCATTTTTTACCAATCAAATTTGTTATGGACCCATATAAGGAGCCCATTAAGCGACAGGCCCAATAATGGGCAATCCAAGATCTGAATCGGTTATAATTACAAATGGTATCCATCAAGGATACTAATCCTAAAACGATAGCATAACAGACAGGCTTGGGCCCCCAACAGAGGCACCAAAGGCCCACACCTTATTACCCACAAGTAACCTCTATAAATACAAGGTAAACCCTAAAGGTACATTACGCTCTCTCTCTCTCTTACTGTTATGATATCACTGTGCGCACACACACACCACATTGGCTAACGCCATCAATAGTATTCTGTGCACAGTGATCTGCTCGACTCAAGGGTATCTCTTCCATAGATACTTTGGAGAGGGCACTAGATCCAAGAGTAACATACCAGCCTATTGGACTGGACATCTCTGTCCCAAGGACAGAACAAAATCAATGTTTTCAAGCACTTTTGATCATGTAATAATGAGAATGACTTGAGGTCATGCAATGCTATCTACTATACACCCTTACGTCCATGTTCTAAGTCCTAAAAGCATATTCTTATGTGTTCTTGGACTTAACTCCATGCTTTGAGATTTGACTGTGATCTTGACATTTGAGCATTTTGATTTGGATAGCTTTAATATACAATTGGATTGGCTCTAGATTCTTTTTGAATATTGGTTTTTAATTAGCTCTTGAATCACCTCCAAACTTGTTTGTTATCTTCAAAATTATGTTGATGTGGCATCATCAAAGATATCAAGAGTGTATAAAATCCACATCTTGCTTTGATTTCACAAAAATGACAGCAAATATTACTATGCAAAAGTATGCATCACAAGTAATAAAAAGAAGTAATTATAAATGCTTAGAAATTGATACATATACAATGAAGAAAAACTTTCTTTTCCACCATGTCATTTGAAACTGGTACGAGATGTTCTTTTGAATATTCAAAGAAAAAAATACTTTGTTGCTAAGCTTGTAGGCAAATTCCCGAACATGTTAACAAATATATATTTTTTTTGTTGCTATTTTTGTCTCTAACTCTAGCTAAAGCAAAATTATCCATGGCGAGAGACAGGACTTAGAAGGAAAAGGGAAACATTTGATAGTGATTAACCCTAGCCTTAAAAAATAGTCATTACAAAGCAAATAAATATTAGAATCTATCCCCTTTAAAATTGAATAGGCTGCTTGGCATCCGAAGGACTCGATAACTTCTATGGAACAAATAGCTTGTAACCAACATTAGATCCCGATATTACTTTTCTTTTTAAAATATGACTGCGGAATCAAACAATAATCAGTCTTGATCATTGCATAATCAAAAGATTGACTATCCAGAAATAAATTGACTATTAAAATGGACATTTTGTTTCTCCTCCAATGCTATCTATAGGACAAAAATGATTTTTGGAAGCCTGACTACATAAATAATGTTAAATATTTCAAACGGTACTTTTAATTAATTAGCTATTGATATTGGGCGAGAATGACAAACTGGGAAAAACCCTGTTGCAACATCAAAAGCCTAAAATTATAGCATTAGACAATAGAGGGTTAATAATGTGATTGAAAAATAGTAGAAACATTAACAACAGCTAGTCTTCAGTTTTGGAAATAACTTTTAAAAAGTGCAATAATTTGCACGGGGGTGATTAGCATGAAACAGATTGTTGTGAGAAGATGATACAGGCGTAGGCAGACAAAGTCAAATATAACAAAACTCTCTTTTCCATCATATTCAATCTGCTTAATCATACAAAAAAAATATCAGCACAGCAAACAATAGCATAAGGGTCAACATAATTAATGATTAGGGGGCAATTTATCAGGCAAGAATAAGTAGCGGAAGCGTGAATCGAAGGGAAGTATGCCACAGTTACGCGAACCTAGAATGCTCTGCCGCCTCTGGGATATGCATTGTTCAACAAAGGCAGCTTGAGGCGGTGGAAGATAATTTGATATCCAGACAGCCAAATTGGCATCATCCATAAACCCTTTAGCGAAGCAGTGAAGCAATTTGGGCACCAACAATCTCCCCCTACTGCTAACTCCAACTGCAGCACGAATGTAATCACGCTGTGCATCTTGAAGCTCTTCCCTAACGTTTTTACCAGTGTAAATCTTTACCTGCATTTGTAATTTTCAAACATAAAATCAAATCTATTCAAAGAAACAGGGCAAAAGCCATCACCACAATAACAAGTTAAATTAAATTACCGCAGGAGAGGAATACATCCCACAGCTGAGAGCAAAAGCTACAAGAGGCTCGTAGCCATCGATTGCAAGCTTCCTTTCTTCCTCTGATACCTTCAACTTGTGAATTGCAAGAAGTAATGCCTAGTAACACAATACACAGGAACTGTGATTCAGGAGTATATAGCCCAAAATTAAACCCCCACTTTCATGCTGCTCGCAAAATTTCTGACTTCTAAACCATTCTTCGATTAAGATGCAGACAATTCCGGATGATGGGGGATCCGCAAAGAAAAATTGGATTAGTGTGCACAACTTTGGAGTTTTAAACATAATGGGTACAAAGGTTAAATGTATTTAAGCAGAATGCATGAACATAGCAATGAGCTGCACGCAACTGTGGCCTTTGCCTTTTACGAGTTTAAACTAACTTTTCCCTTTCTATTGATTCATTAACAGCCAATGCTTTACTGTCAAAGTAGTAAAGTTTACGATCTTTCTTAACTCAAAATTCGTTAATAGATATCACATTTGCAATCCCCATCCTGCTTAATGACAATGTGGCAGAATGGGTTCAATGTTAGATGTACCTGAATACGTTAAGTTATTGTCATTCGGGATACAAGAAGCGATGGAAGGGTAATTTGGAAATATCTGTTATGATATTCAAGTGTGATGAGACTCACATTGGTTGGTAATGAACTAAGTGAAAAATATATAAGTCGAAGGACCGAGTCTCACATTGGTTGATAATGAACTAAGTGAAAAGTATATAAGCGGAAGGACTCATGAACCCAATGCCTTAAGATTTTGGGATGAGATGTGGTGTCGAACCCACTTGGTGTATTTGATCCACTTAGCCCATTGGTGGTGATCCCCTGCAACGGGATTCCACTGGACCCGCCTGACTGTGGTATCAGAGCCGAGTTTGGGCTTGGACTAGCCTGGTGATGGCTAGGAGGCGGGATGAGTACTTTGGCCCCGAGGTACTCGGTTGAGGGGGAAGCATATCAATGTTGGGTTTTCACACTTGAGAGGGGGATTGTTATGATATTCAAGTATGATGAGTCTTACATTGGTTGGTAATGAGCTAAGTGAAAAGTATATAAGTGGAAGGACCCATGAACCCAATGTCTTAAGATTTTGGGTTGAAATGTGGTGTCGGACCCACTTGGTGTATTTGATCCACTTCATTGGTGGTGGTTTCAAATGTGAGATGAGTCTCACATGTGGTGCCACGGGCTTCCCCCTGGACCCGACCGACAATATCCGCAGTGTGGAAAGAAAAACTCTAATAATAGTTCACATCATTATAAGCAAAAAAATAACAAGACATACTGTCTGAGGCCTATGAAGTGGTGGTTTCATCCTCAGAATCACGTACTCAATTGCAGCTGCACTGAAAGAACGACCCCCAACAATGTATGCAGCCTGTACTAATAAAGATAAAAATCAAAACTTTATACAAAATAAGTAAAGATCAATCAACAAATTTATGTTATATTGATTTTTCACTCATGGATAGGATTTCCATGCTCCCATATCATTTATAAAAGGAAAAACTGGAGAAGATAAAAGGTACCGAAGCAAACCTAAGACTTGTACACCAGGTGATGATCTGATGATTGGACAAAACAATATTTAACATAAACAAATATATCATATACAAACATAGTTGAATATATCATTGATCAATTTGAATGCATTAAATCAATCCACACTAGGAATTCATGATGGACAGCTAAAATCTTTAAATTGCATAACCTTTGATATATCTAAACAAGCAGAATTCGCAGCTATATGGCATTTAGAAAGAAATTTTCGAAGTTCTAGTTCTAGGGAATAAATCATCATAGACTGAGGGTTTATCAAGAAGATTATGTGAACAAATAAATACCATATGCCAATGTGATTCCTTCTGACTCAAGCCTCCACATTTTCCAATACAATAATCACACTTTTACGAGAAGAACAAGTTTTTTTTCTATTAAAAAAAGGCGGGAAAGAAGAAACAAACAACTTCAGAAAACATAATCTTTCACTAAAATTTTAGAATCGTAAATCACCAATGCTAGATTGACATAACAAGAATACTCTTAATACAGTACTTTTTAATTATACGAATTGTACTCTAAAACATAATATTCCCTGTAATTATTGTAAAATATTCTGTTAGTAGAAAAGATTATTAGTTACCACAGATTCAACGTTATTTTGGACAAGTCATTATTTAGCTAAGTTAATATATTAGAGTGAAACCATGCCCTATAATACAATTTTTAGAAATAATATTCTGTCTTTTTTCTTTCAAGGTGGTATAGAAGCTCTCCATATGGGGAACTCCAAATTAACCTAACCTGCCTTTATAGTAGTCATCGTCATTGCAGCTGGTCTCCTGCCTTTGTTTGCCTTCATTGCTTTCAAGACTCCACTAGCAACTTGAGCCGTCACTGCAACTTCTCCAAACGGTGACCCCACCTATAGGTCTGCCGTCCCTAAACCATCCAACCACTGATGACCCACAGCCGACTGCCCTATCACCCTCTCACGCACACATTGTTCTTCCGCGCATCGGTCCCCCACTAGTTGCAGCTAGCTCAACTTGACCTCCTCTACCCTGATCTGGCCTCTATCTGTCCATACAAAATTACCCACAAGCTTTATGTCCCATCTCCTCCATGAGCCAGCCACATCATCCACCTATACCCACCATGTCAGACTCTAAGATGACCCACAAATCTACCACTACCTAATCCACCATGTCCAATACCAAGCCGCTCACTTCCAATACCTACAAGTTCTAATCCTACCTATATCACTTTACTGGGCAAAAAATCTACAATGGACGCAAGTCCTTTGTAATATCTTCAAATGATTACAAAAGCTGAACCACATTGAAGAGAAAGCCCCTAACGAGAAAGACCTAAAGTTTAATAACAGCAATGATTAAGTGTCCCTTCTCATGCATGACATGGATGTGGAATTCTATGACACTGGAAGTTAGTTAGAATTGCATGTTCTTGCCCACTGACCATAATATTTGGGACATCCTTCGTAAGACTTACTCCATAAAACAGGACATAGCCTCCTTTTATGAATTAAAAACCAGGATTTTTTCTGCCAAACGAGGGACCCTCTCAGTTACATGCTACTAATCCTCAATGGATTATGGATTGAGGTAGATCAATACCAAAATCTGAAAATAGAGTGCAGCAAGAACGGTTCCACCCTGGCAAAATTTGTTGAAAGAGACCGCATCGTTGAGTTCCTCTCAGGTTTGAATTCCATGTACGATCCTATTAGGGTTCATATTCTGAGAAAGGAGAAACTTCCCTTTCTCTCAGGTTTTTTACACTATTCAAGGAGAAGAGCTGTCATGCTTGCCGACAAACCTAATGATGGATCAGCTTTGATAAGGTGCAAGTCTATGAAGCCAGCTTCTTCTTATTAGTCGTTGCTTTAGGAAAGTAAATATTTAGCTAGGTCTATATATTAGAATGAACCCATGCACATCTTTAAGTATTGTTCAGAAATAATTTACAGTCCCTTTTTCATTCAAATATATATAAGAACTCTTTATACAGCATCTTAAAATTACCCCTTTCCCTTACAAGTCCAAAATGGAAATGAAAAAGGAAAAGACTCTCAGGAAGCAGGGAAAATAAAAGGCCCCAGAAATATAATAAAATCAGAAACCAAACCTTTTGCAATAAAGAGAACATTTTTAAGTCACTCCTTGGGACTCCATAAGCTAAATAAGCCTGTTCACATGGAGGGGCAAAACAACAATAAAAAATTGATGATGAAATTGTAGCAATTCATTATTTTAATCATAAATATAAGGATACCTACATGCATGATCAATGCATTATACAAATTGATCCAAAAAGCAAGTTTCTCGTTGCAGCACAAATGGATGGGATTTACTTTGGTCAGCTGTTCAACAAGTATTCTGTAGTCAATAGCAAAAGTAGAAGCACATGAATTGGCTTGATCAAAGCATAACACAGATTTGATATATGTTGCCCTGTTTGTGATGTAAGACCACTACAGAAAAATAAGCAGAGAGAATAGAAAAGACGTAAAAAAAATGAAGGAAATGCATAGAGAGATGAGATATGCAGGAAAGAATTATAGGACAGAGAGAATAGGGAAAACCCTCAATAATTTTATAATTCATCCATAGCTAAGAACGAAAGCACATACTAAGCAGTATTTAGGTACAACTAACTACCGCAAAAAACAACAAATTTTCCACTCGGCGGGTTGGCTACATGGATCAAACGACACCTTTGTGTTTTTCAAACAAGGCCATTTAGAATTTGGGCACACCCAACTAAGTTAGAAAAATCTAATTAATGAAGTTACCGATATGAAAATTTCCAAACCGTAAAAAATATGATATAATCAAAGGGCATATGTACGAATTAATCTTATTAGTCAAGCATTCTTATCAGTTCAGAGGGCATCCTGCATAAAACTGAGTACACCTATGCTAATACAAGAAAGATGAACCAGAAAAGATGCAAAAGATAGCCATAGTAATTGCAATAGGTGGATTAAAAAAGATGTAGCAGAATAAAATAATTAGCAAAACTATGAAGAAGCAAATAATAAAATTAGAGAACTTCAGTCAAGAAAATTTCAAGAGAAATAAGGGCAAAGATCCAAAATAATGGCCACAATTTAGTAGTCTTTTCCTTTTTCCTTATACTACATAGCAATAGTATTTTTATGTTCTGTCTGCATAGCCATTACACTGATTTCGGGACTTGTGGGACCGCATACTGGAATAATGTGCTTAAATGACACAAAAGAGACACTATAAGAAACCAAAATTATGGGATAAAACATACCTGAATCTCCGTAGAGCTCCAGCAGCAAACTCTAATTGCTTCTTCCCAACTGACATCCAAGAGACTTCAATTGCTAATCCATAATTTCCAATATCAGCCCAACTCAATTTTCCACAAACACGGTATGGATCCCAAGAATTTTCAGAAGCCAATGCTTCACAACCCTTTCCACAGAACTGTGGGCTCTGCAACCATGATGAGGTTGTGGAGTGCTCAGATGATGACCACCACAATGAACTGTGCAGATGTCCACGTGGTGATTGTGCCGAGCATTGACTCTCTACCACAGAGGACTTGGTTGAAAAGTCAGAATCTGCCAGAGATATGAATATGTCTTTCATACATCTCACCATTTCCTCTGATAAAAAATTGGGCTCATCCCAAATTCCCTTTGGTGGCATCCTCTTAGGAAGCTTCCTGAAATCTGCCAGCTGATAATATTTGCCATCTAATTTTGTACACTCATTTTTTTCATAGCAAAGCAAAACTGAGTGTGCTGCATTCTGATGCAAATTAACACGTCAAACAACAACTGTAAAAATTGAAGCCAAATTGAAAAACTGTAAAGAAGCTTCAATTGCACCTACCTCCAGATTTCTTGTACACATAAGAACAAAATTTCACATAATAAGGTAAGGATCTAGATCCATATAAAGAATTTGTGACTAATTAATCAGCTAATGCAGGTTCCATAGAAAATACATAACAAAAAATAAGGAAACAAAACGTTCTTCTTGTTCTTCTCAAGCATGGTAAGTATTCATTTGATCAGTTTGATAGTGGATTCAAAGGAGAACCCTACTATCATAGGCAGGCATAGTTTGTTGCAGATATTAAAAATAAAGCTACTCCACATTAAAATCTGACTAGTGACCATTGCAGATACATGGGCCTAAAAAATGGAAATTTTGTGACTCTTCATGGACTAAACTCCCTGTTGTAAATAATTGTATTGTAATTATTTATTTTTATTTATTTTTCATTCTAGAATCTTCTTTGAGCTTAGCCCATTAGGTCATTCAGTCTCTATAAATAGAGAGCTCTTGTACATTTATAATTAACAATTTTCATATAATACAATCCTACTTTCCAAGTTCTTTCTTTTTTTGTTGGTATCAGAGCTCACGATCCTGAGAGCTCTGCTTCCGCAACTGCCTCCATTAGAGCGGAATCCTATTTGTTAGCCTCTTGCTGCCACTAGCCGCCACCGGAAAATTTTTCCGGAGACCTTTTGGACCTAGATGACCACTGTTTGACTCCGTTTTTCCCGATTTATCAATCTATGGACGTTTCCAGCAGTAGGTCTTTGATCTCGTCATAACAATTAGATCTTTTTGGCCACTCGCGCCTCCTTTGATCTGATCTGATTTTTTTGTTGCTGTTTGGGACGTTCAGAGACCTCTACTTGTCATAAAAATTGGATCTTTTTGGCCACTCATGCCTCCTTTGATCAGATCTGAATTTTTTGTTGCTGTTTGGGACATTCAGAGACTTCTACAACATCGTTTGGTTGTGCGTTTGTGTGTTTTTTGCCATGTTGCAGATTTTTTGGCCTTTTCTGGTTCCTCTTTTTGCAGATCTAATAATTTTGCTTCTGTTTGGACTTAAACTTGAAGTTGTTCTGCTATTTGGGCTCTCTAAAGACTTTTTTTGACTTCATTGTTTACCCACTTCTTTTGGGTTGTTCTCTTTGATCTGTTTTATTTGTCCATGGGACGTTGGTGCACCTATTGTAAGAGTGCTAGACACACAAGAGACGTGTTTTTGCTTTCATGGGAAGTGTGATAATGTTACCCCATATGTGAATATTCAGTAAGAGGAGTTGGAGCAGCTTAAGGCGCTATTGATACTGTGTAAGTCGCCTGACAATTCTTTGATCTTGTCTGGTAAGAACACATATTCTACATCTCTTCTTTCTTCTTGCACTGATTTGATTTTGGATTCTGGTGGAAGTGATCATATGAAATGGGGCACCCACCATTTAGTCTATTGAAGTCAATGTTTCCTTCTCTATTTCTAAATCAGTCAGTTGAGACCTTTCATTGCGATTGTTTGTGAATTTGCAAAACACCATCGAATGTCCTTTCCTTCTAGTGCTATCAAAAGCACTAAACCTTTTTCTCTGATTTATTCTGATGTTTGGGGCCCTTCTAAAGTGCATAGTGTTTCAAGTGCAAAGTGGTTAGTTTCTTTTATTGACGATTGTACTCGGGTGACATGGATATTCTTGATGAAAGACAAGTCTGAAGTACCAGAGATATTTATCCAATTTTATCACATGGTCGAGACTCAGTTTAGTAAGAATATTAAAAGATTAAGATCTGATAATGGTACTGTGTACGTCAACCAACGTTTGTCGCAATTCATTTCAGACAAAGGTATATTTTATGAGCTCACATGTGTTGATACCCCTCAACAAAACAGGGTTGCTGAAAGAAAAAATCGTCACCTCCTTGAAGTCGCTAGAGCGTTACTGTTCCAGAAATCTGTTCCTAGTTCTTATTGTGGAGAAGTCGTGTTAGCTGCAGTCTTTTTGATCAACCGCTTACCTTCATAGGTCCTTAACAATAATCGTCCTATTTATTTTCAGCATATATAAAAGTACTCAAAAGGAAAATACAAATGTTTTCTGTTCATTTGGTGAAAGAAAGATTCTGTTTCAAGGGTCAAATAGATTCCGACATATTACATTTGTATGAAAGGTACCTCCATTACTGGTTCTCCACATTTGCATGTACATTCAGATGACTGATCTAGCATTTGGCAAGAGCTACTTCCAGCAAATTGCTTTGAGGACCTCAAAGAACATGAGATCTGTAAATATATTGACCATAGTGCATAAAATGACAACAATAGCAAGGAAGTTTCTCATATCCCTAACCTCGCAACCTAACTAAAAGTAAAACAACAATGCAAATCAGTCTCCTACAATGCTTGAGAGAACTTTTCCATTTAAAATATGAGGCAGTCAATTGAGCACATGTCTTTATTTTTATCATGCAATACCAGGAAACAGCCTCTTTGCAATTATGCAAAGATAAGGTTGTGTACAAAGATTTCCTCCACCCCACACTCGCTAGTCAAGTTTAACGGGAAGTGGTTTAATGGTTTAAAAATATCTTTAAAATCATATGAAGGAATACATATAAATTTTAAATATGAATAGACAAGAAAGTAGAACTAACATTATAATTGGCCTAAGAACAGGCTTGAGCAAATATTATAGCTTCAGTGGCAAAGTTATCAAAATTGTATAAGTAACAATTCATGGTTCAACTTCAATCACACCTTATCAACCCTTGCTTCAATGGTTGAATAGTTGTGTTTTATTTAATATGTTAAAAAACTAATTATAATTATATTTCATAATTATAATAAAATAATACTGAATATTTAATAAATAATAAACTTCATTTTAAGTTGAAAATATGTGATAAATATGCCAGCGGTATTACTTTTACCCCAAAAAAAAACAAATGTTAAAATTTGTGCACCTTATAGTATTGAAATACAAGCAGCTGAATAACGCGGTTAATAGATTTTAAAGTTTTTCACAGTCTTTATACAGCCTTGGAATTTTAGATGAGAGGAACCTTCATACTGCAAGTCACAACCGAACTAATCGCAGTTTTGATCACACTGTTAAATTGTCACATAGAAAACAAAGTACCAGGGTATTCATAATGTCAGACGAACAAGGAGATACTGAATGAGAATATGAATGCCTAAAATGATACTCTGCAAGCCTCCGTTCATTTCTTTCTTGACTAAGTTGAAAATGCAAAGATAGTGTCTCCTGTTCTAGTTTTGATACCGTAGTCTCCAGTACAGCAATATTTGATAGGAGGTCTTGAACCTGAAGAAAAGATGCAAAGCACAAAACATTAAAACAATCTCCGGCTATTGTAAATAATAATATTTATTTATTTATTTATTTATTTATTTATTTATAGGCCGAAACTTACTTGGAGGAAGGTAGTAAAACAAGATTTCATGTAGTGGGATATAGATTGGCGGACGGTATACCTTAGAACGGAATGGAGAAAAGCTATAAGCATGGTGGAGGGTTAAACCCGTTGTTATTCCTATGTTCCAGATGGTCCCTTTTTAGTCATTTTCCCCTTCATTTCCCCCTCTTCTTCTTTTCCCTTTCTTTTTTACTTTTATATTTATATATATATATATATATATATATATATTATTACTATACTATTCTATTTATTTATTTTTATTTTTACTTTTATGTTTCTTTTTTCAATCTTTTTGTATCTTTCATTTGGGTTCATCTACCACCGACCCCAATTAATTTGGGATAAAGGTGTTGTTGATGTTGATGTTGATTTGTTGTATTGGGCTTAGCCCATTAGGTCATGTAATCTCTTTAAATAGAGAACCTTTTGTACAGAATATACACAATTCAATAATATATCAGAATACCTTTTTTCCAAGTTGGTATCAGAGCTCTCGATTCTGAGGGCTCAGCTTCCATAATTACCGTCGTTAAAACAAAAACCTTTCTTTTTCCCGCCTCTCGCCGCCATGGAAAACTTTCTGGGGACCTTATGGACCGAGAGGACCTGTTTACAACTCCTTTTTCTCGGATCTATCAGTTCGCGGACGTTTCACAATCGATTGACGACCAGATCTTCAAAAAAACGACCCAAACCGCACTGTTCATCACTGGAACAGTACTTTCCGGTGACCGTTTGGACTCCGATCAGCCACAGACGAGACCGCAGCCTCCAGACGACGCCGCGGTGAAAAGCCCAGGTCCGGCAGACGTTGCACGCGCCGTCACACTCTCTGCGTGTGAAACCCACGCACCGCCAACTTCACCGGCGCGTGGCGGTGAGTTTCCAGCTCCGACCAAAAGCGCTCTGCTCGTCTCTTCTTCCTCTACCTGGATCTGTGTTTTGCTCTCTGATCCGACAACGTTTGGGTATACTTTGTGTGTTGTTTGGCTTCTTTGTGCTATTTTTCTGATCTGTTTTTTTGCAATATGGCTTCTTCTGACACTGATTCGACTGTTGCAAACTCTTCTAAACAATCTGTGGTGACCGCTCTTGGTCACAATGATCTTCCAAGTCTACATCAGAGTTATCAACTTGATGGGTCAGATTATTTGTCGTGGTCTCAGCTTATTCGTACTACCATCAAGAGTCGCAATAAGATTGCTCATCTTGATGGCCCTGCTCCTGCTGCCACTGATCCTAGTTTTGCTGTCTGGGACAATAAGGATTCTCTTATCATGACATGGTTGTGGAATTCGATGACTCCTAAAGTGGGTCGTCACTGTATGTTTTTATCTTCTGCTAAAGAGATTTGGGAAACTGTCCGCTCGACCTACTCTTTAAAACAGGATATGGCTGCGCGTTATGAATTGCGCAATAAAATCTTTTCTACTAAACAAGATTCCTTATCTGTGACTGCTTATTATGGTATTATGAAGGAATTGTGGACTGAACTTGATCAATTTCAGAGTTTGAAAATTCAATGTACTGTAGATGCTTCGGCTTTAGCCAAGGAGGTGGAAAATGAGCGTATTTTTTATTTCCTTGCTGGATTGAATTCTGAGTATGATCCTATTCGAGTTCAGATACTTGGCAAAGATACTTTTCCATCCGTTTCCGCTGTCTTCAATACTGTTCGGGGAGAGAAGACTCGTCGGGGAGTTATGATGAACTCTGTCACATCATATAAGTCTGCCATGTTGTCATCACCTGATGTTGTTGCTTCTAAACCCATTGATGGGTCTACTATGATTTCCACAAGAGACGGTTCTTCTCAAGGGAGTTCTTTTACAAAATTTTCTGATGGTGCATCTTCTAAACCTAAGAAAGATGATCGCTGGTGTTCTTATTGTAGAAGGAAAGATCATATCAAGGATCTATGCTTTCGCCTCCATGGAAAGCAAAAGGTCTTAGAAAAGATGGCAAGGATGCGTGGTCAAGCTCATTTTACTTCCTCTGATATAGCTCCTGCACCTAATGAGACCCAACCTGCATTTCATCAAGATGAGTTGGAACGACTCCGGACCATCCTTGATTCTCTGAGTAAGCCATCTGATACTAGTGCTTTGGCTATAACTGGTATGAGCTCCAATACTTTTTCTTTTCTTACTTCTTGTACTGATTTTAAACATTCTTGGGTTATTGATTCTGGTGCTACTGACCATATGGCTTGTTGTGCTGACTCCTTTGTTTCTTATAACCCTACCATTGGCACTCATACAATAGCCATAGCTGGTAGCTCACATACATCAGTTGCGGGTTCTGGTAACATAAATTTACAACCTTCCTTACATCTCAAAGATGCTCTTCATGTCCCTAAACTCTCTACTAATCTTCTTTCTATTCATAAAATTACAAAAGATTTGAATTGCACTGTAACCTTCTTCCCTACTCACTGTGTTTTTCAGGATCTCGCCACGGGGAAGACGATTGGGGGTGCTAAAGAGCAAGGTGGGCTGTACTATTTGGTGTCACAATCTCCCGCAAATAATGTTAAGGATCACATCTTGTTGTCTCATGGCCAGTCAACTGCTGATTCTCTGATTTGGCTTCATCATAAGCGCATGGGACATCCTCCATTTAATTTACTCAAGTCTTTATTTCCGTCATTGTTTTTGTCTAAGTCTGTTGAGTCTTTTCATTGTGATGTTTGCGAGTTTGCTAAGCATCATCGTGTATCTTTTCCTTCTAGTATTACTAAAAGTGTTGAACATTTTGATCTTATTCATTCTGATGTTTGGAGTCCTGCTAAGGTCCCTCATTCTTCTGGTAATAAATGGTTTGTTTCTTTTATTGATGATTGCACTCGTGTAACTTGGGTTTACTTAATGCGTGAAAAGTCTGAGGTACCACAACTATTTTTTCAGTTTTATAAAATGGTTGAGACCCAATTTGGTAAAAAATCAAGAGACTAAGGACTGATAATGGTACTGAATATGTTAATCACTATTTTTCCCAATTTATACGAAGTCACGGTATGATTCATGAACTTACTTGTGTAGACACCCCCCAACAAAATGATGTTGCTGAAAGAAAGAATCATCACCCTCTTGAAGTTGCTTGTGCCTTACTGTTTCAAACACATGTACCCAAATGTTATTGGGGAGATGTCATTCTTACTGCAACGTTCTTGATCAACCGTTTACCCACTCGGGTTCTTGACAATGTAAGTCCTATTCACTCAGTAACTTCTTTTTTCCCTTTTGTTCCAACTATGCAGAGTCTTCCTCCACGAGTGTTTGGGTGTGTTGTCTTTGTTCATGTTCATAAACATCATCGCAGTAAGTTAGATCCTAGGGCCCTTAAATGTGTTTTCCTTGGTTATGCTCCTGATGAAAAGGGCTACAAGTGCTATCACCCTGGCAGTCGAAATTTTTTTGTTTCTATGGATGTTATATTTCAGGAATCTGAGTCCTTTTTCCAAGGTCCTTATCTTCAGGGGGAGAATAATACAGCAGAAAACTCATCACCTTCCTTCTTTGAGTTAGAATCTTCAGTGTCTACTCCTTCTCCTCCTCTTGTTTCTGTTCCTCCTGTGTCTGATCCTCCTGTGACTGATCCATCAAGTACACCAGAGATACGGAAGATTGTGACACCTGAGTTGGTATATCATAGAAGGAAACAACCCACATTGCTTCACCAGCAACCTCAATCGTCTGAACCATTGGTAAGTCCTGAAACTCATATTTCTGATGACTTACCCATTACTACTGATTCTGATGATTTACCCATTGCCCTAAGAAAAGGAAAAAAATCTTGTTCCAAGAAATCTTGTTCCTCCTGTCCCTCTTGTACTCAATATCCTATCTCCCATTTTGTTTCTTCTACTAATCTTTTTGTGCAACACAAAAGCTTTGTTACAGCACTAGATTATATTTCTGTAATACCCCATATTTTTATTAATAAAATAATAATAATAATAAACTATAAATTAGTAGTAATAATAATATAGATATATATAAATAAATATTATGGTGATAGATAGCAAAGTAGAATATTAATTTTATCTTGTGCGATATGAGTGCTATTGGAAAATAATTTTGATACTTTGTAATACTCTAAATTATTTATAATAACATAATATTAATATGTATATATATATATATATATTAGATGATAAATTATGATTAATTGATTTATTAATTGATTGATGAGTTATGTATTTATGTTTGATTAATAATGATTGATTAATAATGTTCGATTGATAATGTTTGATAGGTAATGATTGATTGGTAATGTTGATTGGTAATTTGATTAGATATAATGAGTTAGCATTGAGTCAGTAATGTATGAAGTCAATATCTGAGTCAAATACATCAATAAAGAAAAAGGAAATAAATGCACGAAACCCATATCCGAGCCCAAAACTTCAACTATAAATAGAGGCCTAGCATAAACAAACTAATTCACTCTTCAACATTTCTCCTCTACTACTCTCTCTTCTTACTTCAAAAGTTTATTTGTTTTATTTTCTATATTCTTTTGGTTACCAACCGGTTCTCTGCCCCAATTTATTCTCTTCTAGAAGTTAGCAAAAACGGAGACTAGGTAATCCTAATCTCTAGGTGGTTGTAGATTCGTTGTGTATGAAATTTTTATTGTGTGTAATCCTAATCTTTAGGTAGTTATATGTTTGATATGTGTAATCCTAATCCTTAGGTTATAATTTTGTTTGAAGTTTATTAATAGTAATCCTAATCCCTAGAGAGTCATAGATTATATTGATATGAATTTTGGTATATGTAATCCTATTCGTAGGTTATTCCTTTTATAAAACTTGGATGTAATCTTAATCCCTAGATGTTCTTAGTATTTCTGTATGAATATTTTTATATATATATAGGTA